ATTGGGAAGGTCTATACTTGTCACTTTTTGTTCCTTTCCTTTTTTCTTAACTTTAGTCCCAAATAATTCTCCATCAGAGTCCGATGAATTCTCAAAAAGTTGTCGAAATGTAGATGTGCTCGATTTTGGAACCGGTGACTGCGGTATGTTATCTGGTTCAATATCCATTGGGTCAGACTGCGCCGCATATTTCGTAGATGGGATTGCATTTCTTATTGTTGCAATGCTCTTTTTCTCATAATGTTTGATTACTCGTACAGAGTCGGTACCACTCTTGTCCTTGCCTTGGTTATGTACCTTCTCCACTTCTACATTAGCTGTGTTTGAATTTATGTCAATCCTATTAGCTTCTGCAGTGACTATATGTTTTTTAACTATAAATATAGTGAGCAGATGGTTTGTTTGCATGTGGCTTTAATTTTAACTGCTACTACCTGTAGGCTTGTATGAAGATCGATTTCTTCCGTAAGGAAGGATTCTTGAATTAGGATTGCTGCGCCTTCCTTGGCACGGGTAATTACTTCCATATCTTTCCTAACTATTTTGTAGCCACGTAATGTGAAAGGTTGGTTTTTCTTAAGGTGTGTTTCTTGTATTGCTATACAAAAGCTAGTCGGCTTGAAGTCCGTTACAGTTCCACTGAAGGATATTACTTTTTCTTTCCTGCATGAATTATATTATCGAGTTTAACTGGTGTAGTATTGGAAGGTCTATACTTGTCACTTTTTGTTCCTTTCCTTTTTTCTTAACTTTAGTCCCAAATAATTCTCCATCAGAGTCCGATGAATTCTCAAAAAGTTGTCGAAATGTAGATGTGCTCGATTTTGGAACCGGTGACTGCGGTATGTTATCTGGTTCAATATCCATTGGGTCAGACTGCGCCGCATATTTCGTAGATGGGATTGGATTTCTTATTGTTGCAATGCTCTTTTTCTCATAATGTTTGATTACTCGTACAGAGTCGGTACCACTCTTGTCCTTGTCTTGGTTATGTACCTTCTCCACTTCTACTTTAGCTGTGTTTGAATTTATGTCAATCCTATTAGCTTCTGCAGTGACTATATGTTTTTTAACTATTTCTTTTACATGGGAATCTATTGCTTGCACAAGTTCTGGGACAAGGCAATTAATTAAGGGTGGAATAAGGTTGATAGGATCTATGGTAGGCTATTTCACGACATTTACAAAAGTATGTGGTAAATCAAATGAATTAAGGTTTAGCCTCCTTATATATTGGGCACTCTCTAAATGAGGCAAGATGCTGGCCATTGCAGTTCACGCACACAACAAATTCTGAGAAAGGTTGACCCTCGTGTTTACCACAAACGCATATTTACTCCTTACGGCAGGAGGAAACAGTATGCCCAAATTTCTGACAGCGGTAGCATCTCCTCGGAGATGGAATGTAGTGACGTACTGGAAGACGGTACATAGCAGCCTTCAACGTTTCTGCTTGCACAAGTTCTGGGACAAGGCAATTAATTAAGGGTGGAATGAGGTTGATAGGATCTATGGTAGGCTATTTCACGACTTTTACAAAAGTATGTGGTAAATCAAATGAATTAAGGTTTAGCCTCCTTATATATTGGGCACTCTCTAAATGAGGCAAGATGCTGGCCATTGCAGTTCACGCACACAACAAATTCTGAGAAAGGTTGACCCTCGTGTTTACCACAAACGCATATTTACTCCTTACGGCAGGAGGAAACAGTATGCCCAAATTTCTGACAGCGGTAACATCTCCTCGGAGATGGAATGTAGTGACGTACTGGAAGACGGTACATAGCAGCCTTCAACGTTTATAATAACACAGGCTGGTCAAAAGTTAGAATGAGGGAGGCAATGTCCTTAAATTCTCCATCTCGCTTAACTTTTATGCGCTCCACACTTACAACACCTCCAGTTTTCATTTTCTCCTCAATTTCGCCCACAGAACAATTTAATAAGTCACGACAGGTTATAACACCTCTACTATAGTTAAGGGTACGGTGGGGGAGTACTTTAACTAGAAGGTCGCAAAAGGATGTAATGCCAATCAACTTTTCGTATTGAGTTCTAGAAGCAACCTCAATCAGCAGGCCGTCCCTTATTTTCTTGATATTGGGTACGGGACCAATCAGACGCTGCAAGGAATTAGCTATTAGGAAAGGATTGACTATGTTCATACCCTCATTTTCAGCCTTCATTTAAAGAAAAAGTTCAAAACTAGAAACGTCCTTACATGTTTCTATTTGAATACTTGAGAAAGAACCTTTTTTCATTTTGGAAGGAGGCTGAGCGTATTTTCGTCTAGGTTCGGAAGAGACTTCCGGAAATATGCCCCTGTTTAAAGAAACGGGCGTCTCTGTGTTTTTAAATTGAATATTCTTCATTTCGGCCCCACGAGTAGCAAGGGAAACAAGGTCCGTTAAGGCAGAGTCCCGCATGCCTCAGTAAGTTGACTAAAATAAAACTGGGTTGCATCAGGT